CTGGATTTCCCCGGAGCTCCGCCCACTTTAGAAATAGTGCTAGCATTGTGGCAGTGGTAGATTGAGCCTATGAGCGAGAGCGCCATCTGTCGTGGAGTTTGGCCTCCGAGCTCCGTTTCGAGGCCCGCCAAGCCAAGTATAATGCGCGCGGGCATGACGTCACACAGACGACTACGTTCATTGATTAAAACAATCGAGTAGCGCCATTATAGGGATTGTCGGATGATACGTACCATTTACAAAAACACGAAGTGGAATTTTTCCGCATGATTTCACGAGATATCTCTGGCTAGAGTAAGGAAGATCAAAGGACAGAGTTATAATTCGAACAAGTGAACATTTAGCTACACATAGATACCAAGATGGAGGCTGTTGGTTGTATATTTGTTCTGTAATCGTATGAAATGAAGCAAGTGTCGGGCGAATTTTGCGATCACGCTTTTCTACCTGCTCTGTTATTAATGTTGTTTGTGCAAAGGCGTGTGTGCGGTGTGCTTGTGTGTCGCAGATGAGCATTTGACCGGCATTTACTAGTAATTATCGGCAAAAATAGGCGAAATAGAGTAGAGAAACATTAAGACTGGTAGTAAATACATTTCGTGTTTATTTACCTTTTTTTTATTGAGACGTTCCGAATCCAAGTGCCTGTGAGTATACATAAGATTGGCATTCCCTCTTGCTTGAAGTTGATGAAGCTTGCTCATTGCACTCTATAGTCCGAGTTTCTTCTGACCAATGCCCACACCGACGATTTTGGTGGACGGTGTGGGCATTGGTCAGAGGAAACTCGGACTAGTTGCACTCGATCACCTGAGCGTGATCATTGCTTTCGACATAACTCAAATTGACTACGTCACGAATTTTCGATGGTGTATTTTGTAAAAATTGTGTTGCCATTTTTTTACATTAAAAGTAAGTACTAACGGGACTAAATGTATCTTCAAATTTTTACCGGATTAATATTGTTTCTCAACTAGTTAAAAATCCAAAAAACCTGGACGATTTGATATTATGATCCTGACATTAATTAATTGCTTGCTATGGGCTATGTATGAGTCACGAGTGTATGTTTACATCAAACAATATAGTAAAATAGGAAGTATAATGCAGCGATTTAATCATAAAAAGTGAACAGAATTACTTACATTTTGTGAAAAAGTGGAAATGAATTTTTTATTTTTACTATTTATGGTGACGTAATCACTTTAAGGATCCCTTTAACTCAGTTTAAGTTTAGTTTCTTTGTTTCTGTAATTCCCTATTGGAATTCTCTCCCTTCGTCTCTAGTAAATTGCAAATTTGCAGCTTTTCATACTGTCATCTGCGTGTTGATCTGTCTATTTGATCTGATCAACTTGTCTCTCCACCTTCGATATATAGTCTTTTGGACTTTGAAGACTATTACATACGAGGACGAGGTTATACATACTATAATAGAGTACAAACTGATGCGTTACGTGACAGTACTACTACTAATACTATCACTGATAGGTGGATACTATCATAGACAGGTGTCACTGACACTGATAGTGATACTATCAGTGTCAGTGACACCTGTCTATTGAAAAATATTCTGCCTAGACTATAAAAACTATTAAACGGGTATGTTTATCTCATGAGTTAATGCTAGTGGCAGGGTGGTGCCATGGCATATATGTTTGCCTTGGTTTAAAATCCACCGTCATCTGGGTTCAGGTTATGCCTAAAGGTTAAACCAAGTTGTGTGCAACTGGCACCGATGAAGTTGTTTTTACTTGCTTCGTCTCAGGAAATAGCATGTGACTTGCTAAATAAGTAGTGCCCAGTAGCAATTTAGTCACCCCTACTAATTACTCTCATACACATTGCCATGGAGAGAGATTTTTGTAGGATTTTGCCAAATTTGTCTGAGTAAGTGAAGCTGTACACATGTGTAGTGCTGGTAATCCTAGTATGTGAAAACTGGGTTATAAACAGACAGAAAGTTGGAGGCACTTGGTTATGTATATATGTTTGCTGTGATGATTTGAAGGCAGTTCACAGTGGCAGCAGAGCAGTTTGTGAATTTTGCTCTCATGCTTTCCCACCTGCTCTTGTCATTTGTGAGTTTGTGCATAGTAGCAGGGATAGTGTTTACATGGAATTACCAGGTGATATAGACTACATAAATATTAAAATTTTGGCAGTAAATATAATTAATGTCTATTTACTATCATTTTTAGCTCATCTGACATAGTCAGATGCGGCTTGTAGAATCGCATGAGCGTGCGTCCGTCCGGCCGTGCGTCTGTCCATGCGTCAACAGTTGGGCACAAATCTTAAACCGCTCGACGTACGGTCACGATATTCGGGACGTGGGGGGTAAT